CATATTCGTATGTATAAATTTTCCTATCCTCAGCTAACTCAGATCTCCGAAAACACAGACCCCGACATTTTTTTCGCCTTATTGTCCAGCGATCTTCATATACTTTGTCTGACCATAATCGACTCACGTCTAATAGGTGAGAGGGAGGTCAATTTGGCCCCTAGTTTAATAAAACGCTTCACATAAAAAGCAACAGAATTTCCATTAACCTTCATTTCTTTCATTCCTCTTGTCTCCACCATCTCAGCAAGGCGAACTGGCTCTCCTGTCCCCGCAACTCATACTCCCGGTGGGTGATGCTCAGGGTCGCACGCACTATATTCTGCTTGTAACCGAGCGCGAACGCGAACAATGGCGTGTTGCAATGGATACGCAAAAAATGCACTATCAAATTCTGCTCTACAAAACGGAACAAAAACCCGCGCCCAGTACGAACACCGGAACAGTGGAACCAGTAGTCACGGATTCATTAGCTCGCGCACAGACATTGCCAAATACCAGTCGAGCTGAACCGTCCCAGGCGGAGATAAATGAGCTGCTCAAGCATTATTCTCAAGTGAGACAAACTCACGTGTGCACGTTTGGTGCTTGAGACGACACATTTGGGTGTTTGCTCAGTTAAATGGCTACCCTTACTCTAAACCCCTCCAGGGCCCGATACCTTGATTCAGTTCATTTACACTCAATGAATGACCCGCAAAAATCGGTTTACACAAATAAACACCACTAAGGATTATCTCTCAAGAGTACAAAAACGTGGATAATTCCAGGAATTGCCAGATAGCATGTTAGTTAGTTGTAGTAGGTGCTAGTAAGAGGTATAAGAAAATCGATTAGGAGTTTTATGACCTAATGAAGTAGATTGGTGAATAGTAAGTTATTTCCGTTGCTTGTTCCAGATGTTTATACTTACGTACTGTTTATTTATAATCGCATTCACATACACCGTCCTTTGTTTTAATGATAACTATTGGGCATGTATGTGGGAATGTTGGGAATTGCGTGGTTACTGGTGCGAGATGATTCGGACAGATGTCCGGGTCAGCTTGGCTTCGGGATGGTTTAAGACTGTCCGGGCACAGAAAATTGATTGTGGTTTGTGCCGTATTCCGGTATACGTTCAAAGTGTTGAGCTGTTTTTCCAATGGGTGCTGGTCTGTTCTGGCTCTGCCGTATTGGGAAAAGAGCAGCTTATACAACTAAACTTCACCCTATGTCCATTTGATGGCCAACCAAAATGAACCACATGTGGTGCACGAACTGAGACATAGTTTGATCACTGCAATTACGCATTGTGAATGGTTATTACATGACTAATTGTTTAGGTGAAGAGAGATTCAGAGGGCTTCCACGTAAAAGATAGCATCAAAAGCAAAGTGCTTGCGAGGAGAACAAATATCTGATGCGCTAGTTCTGGATGTGCTTTTGGATGGAGACGGTGTTAACAGGTTGAAAGTGCCCTCGATGAGTACTGCTGTCCAATACGGGAATATAAACTGACATGTTATGATTGTGTGTGTTGTTATAACCAAACGTGATCACATACACTAAATGAAAAAGACACTGAATGCTGGTTAGGGAGCCATCCAATTTTAGCGTACTTAAAATTGGAAACTGGTTTCCCGCGGTTCAGATGGTAGAAAGCAGCGCAGGTGCGTTTGATCAGGAGAGGAATATGGATAACAAATATATTTTAAACAGACTTTCTGTGACTAGTGTTTACTATCACAAACACACTGAAATCCCAGCAAGTTGAGAGAGGTCGGGAGTTTTTCAAGTTTCTTACTATGTGATTGTTTTAACTCGTGTATATTAGAGCGTTCATCCCAGTATATGATGCACTCCTCCACAAGAGACCTTAGAGCGAGGAAAGATACAGATACGGACAGTCACATGGTGATTACGAAAGGGTCTGTTTGCTGCTTTGCTTTATTCATTTACAAATAAAATGTCGTACATTGTCAACCAAACTTTATTAAACATATAAAATGAAATTTCATCATGTGAAAATCAATCCAAATGACGTAATCTGTACTTAATCTCTCGGCTAGCTCGGTTCCGACTAAGTGACCATTGGTAACTGTGCCGTTTGTTGTATGCTCTCCTTCTGTAGCGTGAACTCAAACTATTCAAGCTCAATAAAACAGGGACAGCGATCCTTCACAGTAAGTCGATTCGTCAATGCAAAAATAACAATGTTCAGTTGATCCGACATGTTTCATTGCCCGCAATATTTGTTGCAATTTTTACTTCATTACAGTTAACCTTATGGTAGTAATTATTTTATGCAGCTGACATATCCTCCTCAAATCCTTGATAATTAGCATAAATTTAGGTGCTTTCTCTTAAATTAAAAGCATTCACACAATGGTAATGCGATTCTCGGCGCCGATCAGAGTGAATGTGATAGTTGAACAATTCTCAATGTCTGAAATCTATCCAACACAGCGATTTCATGATTTACGTTGTATAGAAACTCCCCCTTGCCATACGCGGATGTAGAGACCACCACTAATTGCATGTTTTGATTAGCGAAATCACATCTATTTTTTAGCATCACTTGTATCATATTTTTTGTGTCACAACTGGTGTAACACCTGACAACTTTTGTTCCTGCGATATGAGCTTAATGTTTGCATGTGTTTTATAACTGAGCAAACCAACATGGTTTTCCTTGAATCGCTTCAAATACTTGACAAATCACTAATGTGATCCAGATTCTCTAGCGTCCACCATCAGTCGATCGAGGTAATCGCTCTTCTCAACAAAACACTAATTCTTCTTGATGTTCTATCTTATTCTTTATACTGGTGATCGATGGCTACTTCGTGGAATTGACCTGGTTCTTATACACGTAAGAACCAGAAAATGAGCCCATTCAGTCTCTCTTCTTTCAACCAAAGTCAGTGGTTTTTAGTATTTTGTGAAATTTAACGTAGCTGTTTCCAAAACGACAGTTCAAAAGCGTACCTAGCCAGATGCTCTTTTGGTGTCAGCTAAAACCTTGTCCCCTAGACTGGGTCCTTGATTCGAAACCAAACAATTTGGAGGTCCTGAAATTCTCACTGGTA